AACATTTTAAAAAGCCAAAAATAATGAAAACAAATAGTTGCCTCGGGTTTGCAAAAAATAAAGTAACTGTTGTGGGTCCCAAACATGTGTTGTTGTTATTGTTGTTGTTGTTGATGCTGTTGTTGTTGTTGTTGTTGTCATGAAATATAAAGTGACTTAAATAAATACCGATTAACTACAGGAAACATGGTTGTGTTAGTCAATGTTTATTCTGTGCGCCATATCATGATCAACATTTTGCGAACACCTGGTATCATCTCTATTTGATACTGGTTCCTGCTTATGAGGAGTCGGAATCCTACAGTCAACTCTACTTTTAACAAAGCTTTCACTGGCAGAAATAGTTTGTAAAGTTTACTAATTTAGTAAGTGAAATTCACTGTGCACCACGATACTAACATGTTAGTAGGCTTTACTTATCAGTTAGTATTTAATGATATTGAATAAAACAAGTGATCGTTATAGTGGCTGATTTCTACCATTTTGCTTCGCGACGGCAAAGGCACAAGGACGCGTTCACGCGAAGACACAATACGATGACATGAAGATAAGATACGATGACGCGGAGACACAATACGATGACATGAATATAAGGTACGATGATGCGAAGACACAATACGATGACATGAAGATAAGATACGATGACGCGAAGACACAATACGATGACATGAAGATAAGATACGATGATGCGAAGACACAATACGATGACATGAAGATAAGATACGATGATGCGAAGACAAAATACGATGACATGAAGATAAGGTAAGATGACGCGAAGACACAATACGATGACATGAAGATAAGATACGATGATGCGAAGACAAAATACGATGACATGAAGATAAGGTAAGATGACGCGAAGACACAATACGATGACATGAAGATAAGATACGATGATGCGAAGACAAAATACGATGACATGAAGATAAGATACGATGATGCGAAGACACAATACGATGACATGAAGATAAGATACGATGATGCGAAGACAAAATACGATGACATGAAGATAAGGTAAGATGACGCGAAGACACAATACGATGACATGAAGATAAGATACGATGATGCGAAGACAAAATACGATGACATGAAGATAAGGTAAGATGACGCGAAGACACAATACGATGACATGAAGATAAGGTACGATGATGCGAAGACACAATACGATGACATGAAGATAAGATACGACGACGTGAAGACAAGATGCGATGACGCGGAGACAAGATATGATCACGCGAAGACAAGATGCGATTATGCGAAGACAAAATATGATGGCAAGAAGACAAAATATGATGGCAAGAAGACAAGATACGATGACGCGAAGACAAGATATAATGGCCAGAAGACAAGATATGATCACGCGAAGACAAGATGCGATTATGCGAAGACAAGATATGATGGCAAGAAGTCAAGATACGATGATGCGAAGACAAGATATGATGGCAAGAAGACAAGATGCGATTATGCGAAGACAAGATACGATGATGCGAAGACAAGATATGATAGCAAGAAGACAAGATGCGATTATGCGAAGACAAGATACGATGATGCGAAGACAAGATACGATGACGCGAAGACAAGATACGATGACGCGAAGACAAGATACGATGACGCGAAGACAAGATACGATGACGCGAAGACAAGATACGATGACGCGAAGACAAGATACGATGACGCGAAGACAAGATACGATGACGCGAAGACAAAATACGATGACGCGAAGACAAGATACGATGACGCGAAGACAAGATACGATGACGCGAAGACAAGATACGATGACGCGAAGACAAGATACGATGACGCGAAGACAAGATACGATGACGCGAAGACAAGATACGATGACGATGGCGATGGCGATGGCAAGAAGACAAAAGGCAAAAGACAAAATGAGATCATCGTATCACAACATCTTCGCATCTTCGCATCGCGACTTCGTAAATTGACTCCGGTCACGTGAGTACAAACATATTTCCTCTGTAACTGAAGTACATACGCGTGGTCAGAATTTTCCACAGACAATCTCACAAACACACATACAAACTTACACATACACACAAACCACTGAATATATTGATTCAAAATCGCCAACCACCAACCACCACCCTTCGAACTTATGACTTAAGAATACAAATGTGAGGCCCCAGGGTTTCTCAAGGTAACAAACCAGAATCCTTAAGCCACGGTGTACATATGTGTAGGCATGACATGAAAACCAGATGGTGAAATGTTTAACCTTGCACCTTTCCTTGTCCTTGTCCGACTACTGATTCACCCAAGATAGCACGATATCTTAGTCCTGTACCTGGGACAAAATAACCATTGATTAGCAGTGACCTTCGTCACCAGCGCTCTACACTTTCAGCTGGATGATATACCTACTTCTTTATACCCTTTTGAACCTATTTTAGGATTGATGGGAACTGACATTTGCTCACTGTTAAGTTGACGAAAAGGTTGCAATAACACCGCTGGCAACCCAAGTAGATGTCACGAAGTTTGT